GTCCAAGATTATCTTCTGTGTCTGTGTCAATTGGTTTCCCTTTTCTTTGTTGAAGAGGGTCTGTGCAGTCCTTCTGCCTAGTCCGCCATCTTGCAGGAACTCCCCTCGGCAATATACTTCTGTAAGCATTTACCGCCTCAAAAACCCACAGGGGGTTGCTGTGAGTTGGATCTGATTCAATGGCAATGAGTGAGATTTTTTTTTTCTGGTGTGTGTGTGTGTGTGTGCATTGTGTAAATACTCCCACAGTAGTTAGTTTCAAGCTATCCACAGTTTAACAACCACCTCACAAAATTCCTGAACATTAAATAATCAGTGCTCACAAGCTAGTACAAGCCAGTTCCAGCATAGCATTGACTCAGAGGCCTTTTCGTCTCCACAGACTTGCCTCTTACTCCCCTCACCCCCCTTCAGGCCTTATTTAAGTATTCAGTATCAAGTTTTTGGTGTCTTCAGTCCTTTCGATGAGCTGTGCCCTTCATGTACAAGATCCTTCTTCCTTGACTGCTTCTTGCTAGTTGGTTCAGGCATTGCCTTCTCCAGCGACCCCTTTCCAGACTTGGCCAGGTTGAGTAAATGTCTTGAAGGGAAGGCTGATCTGATGCATGTTTTATCCCGTTGCCTAGTTCAGTATCTGGTACATACAGAAAATGTGTGCCTTTGTGCACAAGTTGGACTTAATGATAGCCATGATTATTATAATAGCTGTCATTATAATAGCACCTACATGTGGAGTACTAACTATGCATTTTCCATGCATTGTCTCATTCATTCTTCACAAGACTGTAAAATAGCAAACACTACTGTCCTCCCTTCGTAGAGGAGGAAACTGAGGCACAGAGCTGATGTAGTTAATGTGCAAGATCACCCAGAGATAGCCAGTGTGCCTGTGTCTCAAGCCCTTCATCTCACTCACTGTTTCTTTAGCTCCTACCAGGCTCTCTTTTGGTGGCCTCCATCCTGCTTCTGCATTTTGGATCATGATCCAAAAGATGTAGGGTGCTCTGGTAAGTCATACCTTGCTTTTGGTTTCCTTTCCTCAGCTGCTCGGGAAAAGCAGATCATAGAGAAACAAAAAAGAGCCAAGCTACAGTATGAAAAGCACGTGGAGGAGCGATGGCGAAGACTGGAGGAGCAGCGCCAACGGGAAGAACAGAAGAGAGCTGCCGTGGAAGAGAAGAGGAAGCAGAAGCTCAGGGAGGAGGAGGTGAGGCCTTCAAGCCATCTCTGTGGCCCACACAGGGCTTTGTACTCAGGGTAGCTGGGCAAATGCCTAGCTCTGGGATATGATATCTACTCCTGAGCCTTAACCCTGGTGCCTTACTATGCCTGCCTCCAGCAACATAATGCCAGACAGTGAAAGCAGCTCTAGAATAGGAACACAGAGACTTGTCTGTCAACACAGGTGTTAATTTGCTGTGTGACCTTAGGCAAGTTGGTTGGCTTCTATGGCCTTGCTTGTCTCTGAAGTGAGGAAATCAGATTTGGTGATCTCCAAGGCCTCTTCCAAGTCTAATCTTCTCTTATTTTGAGTTTAAAATTTAGAGTTGATTGTTGATAGAGACTTGGTGATGTAGCCTGGGGGTTGCAGCCTAAATTAAGACTAGGAGGGGGTTATTAGTAGGGATGTGCTGGTGTCAGCCTGGGGCCTTGCAGCCCAAGTCAAGACTGGGAGGGGCTCTTGATTGAGACTTCGTGGTATAGACTGGGAATTTCAGGCTGAGTCAAGACTGGGAAGGGGCTTTTGATAGAGGCTTGATAGTATAGACCTGGGGGTTATAACCTAAAATAAGACGGGGATTGAGATGTTGACAGGGACTTAAGATACAGGCCTGAGGTTTACATCCTAAGTTAAGACTATAAGGAGTTATTGATAGGGACTTGGTGGTGTAGGCCTGGGGATTATAGCCTAAGTCAAGACTGGAAGGGGGCTCTTTTTTTTTTTTTTTAATTTTTATTGTGATTTGGGTGAAAGTTTACAGAGCAAATTCATTTTCCATACAGCAGTTCATAAACATTTTGTCTCATGACATTGACTGCAATTCCCCACAACGTAACGGTTTTCTTCCTACTTCCTCCCTGTAGATACCTCTTCCCTGTGTCCTTCTTTCCTATGCATTCCCACCCCCGAAACTGTCTCCCTGTGCAAAAACTGCCCTTCTCTTCTCCCATGAATGATCACTCCAAGTAGTGTTATCTACCTGATGCAAATGTCCAGCACATATGCCTGTTTATAACCACAGGAGTGAGTTCAATTCCAGACCTGAAGGGTGGCTAGGGGCCAATGTCTCAGGGGGGTCTCACTAGGCTGTATCAGACCAGCAAACCTGGTCTTTTTTTATGATTTTGAGTTTTGTTCCATATTGTTCTCCCACTCTACCCAGGATCTCCTCCACCGATCCCCCTCCTAGTAGTTGACAGTGGTAGCCAGGTATGATCTGGTCTCATCACTTCTGGTCTCAAGGTCATATACTGAGGATCTCATAGTCTACCGGTCTCTTAGAATAATTGTTTCTATGTGTCTTTGGTTTTCTTCATTTTATAATTCTTCTTTGCTCTGGGTGAGAAGAGACCCATCATTGTATCTGATGGCCACTTACAAACTTTTAAGATTCTAGTTACTAGTTACCAGAGTAGAATGTAGAACAGTGTTTTTGTGTAGTATGTTACGCCTGTTGAGCTTGATGTCCCCTGTGTGGGAGGGGGCTCTTGATACAGACTTGGTAGCATAGGTCTGTGGGCTGCAGCCTAAGTTAAAACTAGGAGGAGTGGTTGAAAGGGCCTTAGTTGTATAGGCCTGGTGGTTACAGCCTAAGTCAAGACTGGGATTCTCCTCGGTGTTATCCATAATCTGTTAATGATCCACACAATCTAATGCTTTTGCATAGTCACTAAAACACAAGTAAACATCTTTCTGGTATTGTTTGCTTTGAGCCAAGATCCACCTGACATCAGCAGTGATATCCCTCATTCCAAATCCTCTTCTCAATTCGGCTTATATTTCTGGAAGTTCTCTGTCAGTATACTGCTGTAACCATTTTTTAATTATCTTCAATAAGATTTTACTTGCGTGTGATATTAATGACATTGTTTGATAATTTCCACATTCTGTGAGATCACCTTTGTTTGGAATGGGTACAAATATGGATCTCTTCCAGTCAGTTGGCCAGGTAGCTGTCTTCCAAATCTCCTGGCATAGCTGAGTGAGTGCCTCCAGTGCAGCATCCATTTGTTGAAACATCTCAATGGGTACCCCGTCAATTCCTGGAACCTTGTTTTTTACCACTTCCTTCAGTGCAGCTTCGACTTCTTCTTTCAATACCATTGATTCTTGATCATATGCCACCTCCTGAAATGGATGAACATCGACCAGTTCTTTTTGGTATAGTGAGTCTGTGTATTCCTTCTATCTTCTTTTGATGTTTCCTGCATTATTCAATATTTTGCCCACAGAATCTTTCAGTATAGCAACTCAAGGCTTAAATTTTTTCTTCAATTCTTTTAGCTTGAGAAATGCCGAATGTGTTCTTCCCTTTTGGTTTTCTAACTCCAGGTCTTTGCACATTTCATTACAGTAATTGGCTTTGTCTACTCAATCTGCTCTTTGAAATCTTCTGTTCAACTCTTTTATCTTGTCATTTCTTCCATTTGCTTTAGCTACTTTCTACTCAAGGGCAAGTTTCAGAGTCTCTTCTGACATCCATTTTGGTCGTTTCTTCCTTTCCTGTCTTTTTAATGACGTTTTGCTTTCCTCATAAATGATGATCTTGAGGTCATCCCACAA